ATTGTTTATTTGGAAATGACCGCAACATTGGATTTGATTTGATACCAAACAGGCATTTCCCAGGACAATGAAATCTAAGAATATTACAATATTTTTGCTTTCAATTGTTCCAAATGTATGTAATCTCTAAATACTGATATGCTAAATTAAGACACGCTTCAAACAATTTAATAGTAAGCGGTTAAATACAAAAATAGATATGGAACGGCATTAAATTATTATTAACGTTAGAGTGCCGAGTGTACTAAAAGTGTAATTGACGGTAACTTCATGAAATACATGGGCAAATCAAGTAACTCTTCGATATTTTTATCACCCGTAACAGCCACAGAAATACAAGCTAATATTCGAGCTTTTAGACCTAAAACCAGCTATGGGCTTGATGGAATCACTATTAAGGTTATCAGAGCAATGCCGTGGAACTGCATGCTCTCTCTAGCTCATGTTTTTAATCTTTCTTTGCAATCGGGACAATTTATTGATGAATTTAAAATCCCCAAAGTTGTACCGCTTCACAAAGGCGGAGACATGAAAAATGTCAAAAACTATAGACCTATTAGCTTACTGCCTTATTTTTCAAAAATTTTAGAAAAAGTGATGTACAATAGATTTATAGTGATTAGTTATCACTACACATAGATTGTTTGTAGATTGGTCTGGTTTATGTGTTATAACCCCAGCATTGACTGACAATAGTTTTGTCTTGCGTTCGATAACTCGAACTGTCTATCTGTCGATAGCCTTCGGCTGTAGAAAGGAGACGTTTGAAAACACCTTATGAGTTTATTGCAATTCCGACAATATATACAGAAATACAATGTACACACAATTTGATCAAATCTAGTCTGATTAACACAAAACACATTGCTGAATATATAGCTTTCTACCAAGCAATTAAAATAGAATAAAGAAACAGATTTTTACATTAACGATTAAAGAATCACGCGTCATTCCGGTTTCTGGTTAGCTTTCGGTTCACTATAATCAAACATTATTATAAGTGTTTTCTTGAAGTTCATTACTAGCAATTAACTTGTTATTGCCAAGTCACCGTGTTCCTGGCCACGTACTTACTCCAATTATGAGATGTAAAAAGTTGTTCTCAAGTGGATAATTTGGTTTTAACAAGATATTTCGAATTTACGTTATTGGAATATTACTGGAAATAAATTTTATTTTTACATGGGATGGCACCGAAAGGCTATTAAATCTTGAAATTGGATTTTGAGAAATTGATAATTGCTATAACGGGAATAATTAATTTTGGTTTTCATGAGTTTCTCACGAATTGGGCCAATTTGGTGTAATTTTGTAGTTACATAACAACTAATTGGCTACAGATTAGTTAACTTTTTAGAACAAAAGAGTTTTTTCTACCATCAACAATTTGGTTTTCGCAAGGGACATACAACTTCGCAGGCTACGTCTCTACTTACAAGTAAAATACTGGGTGGATTTGAAAAAGGCCTTTATACTCTCGGACTATTTCTTGACCTATCGAAAGCTTTTGATTGCATTGACCATCATATCTTGCTTTCCAAACTCTACCACATAGGTGTTAGAGGCCACTGCCTTTCGTGGTTCCGCAATTACTTGGCTGATCGCAAACAAGTGTTAGTTTATGACGGGCACTCTTCAAGTAAATGCTGCGACTTAACAATTGGGGCCCCTCATAGGTCACTTATGGGGCCTATATTTTTCTTAATTATGATTAAGGACTTTCCTAAGTCACTCAAGAACTCCGATGCTATCCTATTCGCTGACGACACCACCCCTTTCCTACAAGGGAAAAATTTACCAGACCTTATTGAAAAAGCTAATGCTGACAGCTGACCTTACTAATATTCAATCTTGGCTAACTGCAAACAAACTAACAGTAAATGCGGAAAAGAACCAAGTACATGATTTTCAGTGCACCTAGACAAAAACTACCCATCCTCAACGATGAGCTAATTCTGCAGTCCCAGTGCATCCAAAGAGTAAACCAAATTCATTTCCTGGGTGTTTTACTCGATGACAAATTGTCATGGAAATACCACTCACAATTGGTACTATCTGAAATAAGGACAGCACTCGGAGCTATTTCAAAAGTCAATAAAAACATTATACCACTCATTAATAGAAAGTCATATACGATATTGCATACTACTTGGATGCATCGTCAAAAAGGTATTACAGCAAAAATTCAAAGTGTCTGTAATCACATTTTGAGAATGACTTTTGGTAGGGGTCGGAGAGGTAGTGTCGCAGATTTGTTCAAAAGTGAAAAACTACTACGTGTTGAAGATTTACTAATACTTGAGATTTGCACATTGATGTTTTTATCTTCTACTGATCAACTCCCTAGTTGCTTCGATCGTGTTTTCGTAAATAATAATATTCGAAATAGCTTTCGTGCAGTAAGGACATTCTACTCTCCAGGCATTATTTTTTAGATAGAAAGGGCCTTTTGATGATTGGTGAAAAAAAGTTGAGAAAAGACTGGCAGATGAAAAATATCTCCGTTTGACCAATGACATTTAACAATATTGTTATATGTCATTGGTTTGACTAACTATGTCATCGTGGATGCAACCAACTCCCATTGCTCAGGAAACAAGTCTCGGTCAACCCACTGATCTATTGTCTCTAGTTCCTGCATATTTTCATGGTTTATTAGCTTTGTACAGTTACTTCGTTGGATCGTCGCTAATGAAAAGATCATCTTATACAAATTTAAGTTTATCATGCCGAGACGTAGTGACAATAAATTCCACAAAATAGCACCTACGAAATTGACCTGCATTTTATGCCAGACTCTATTGTTCTCATTTCTTTTGTCGCATACAACTTATGATTAACAACTGTGTGAAAGAACTGTGTCAAAGAATTTTTACATATGTCGTTTATTGTTTACCTTCTTAGAACCTAATCTTTTTGTGTCGTGGTCCCACCAAACGTTGGTTTTTGGCAAGTTCATGTCTCGAACGAATTTTTACTTGTTTCGTACAATCTTTTGTAAAAAACAAAAAAAATGCGATTTATACTCTATTCCAGCGGTTCCCAAACTATGGGTCGCAACCCACTGGTGTCTTAGTGGGTCGTGAAAAGATGTAGAAAGCTTTGGATAATTATACTGGTTATTAGGATCGGTAGCGACTGGAATACGTAAATCTTCAAAATAACAAAAGAAATTAAATATAATTTAAATTCTAATCTGTGAAAGTTTCCTTTTTACGATCTTTTCAAAGGAACAAAAGTTTGCTACACAAAAAATGACCATGTGGCTTTTTTACGCATAGCAGTTTTGTACACTGTACAGCACTTCTTACCGTGTTTTCCCGAAATTTAGACAGGATTTAAATTTATTTTCTTTTGAAGAATATTACTATGGTTGTTTTTGGAAGAGGTCTTTTGTGTGCATTTATCAAAAATAAAATCACATTTAGGGATGGGCAATGTAGAATAATTTACTATTCTAGAATAGTTAAATCGAATCCAGAATACCGAATCCTATTCTATTTTCATACTTATTCAAATAGTGGGAATTTTCCTGATTGCTGGATTTAGATGTCAAAAAATTATAAATGTATTACTATAAATGTATTATTTATTTGGAAATGACCGCAACATTGGATTTGATTTGACACCAAACAGGCATTTCCCAGGACAATGAAATCTAAGAATATTACAATATTTTTGCTTTCAATTGTTCCAAATGTATGTAATCTCTAAATACTGATATGCTAAATTAAGACACGCTTCAAACAATTTAATAGTAAGCGGTTAAATACAAAAATAGATATGGAACGGCATTAAATTATTATTAACGTTGGAGTGCCGAGTGTACTAAAACACACTCGCTGAGAATCAATTAGATGCAGGACCAGCGTGTGGCCACTGCAACCTATGCGACCGGGGTGAAATATTAAATTTAACCACTATCAAAAAAATCAACTTTTTATTCTGTGCGATCAAGACGTGCAAAACAAGGTTCCCGTAAACGCGATTTCGTAGTTAGTTAATATCATCTAAAGCCGAATTCATTTAGTATTATTATCGTTACCTATCATTATCTACCCAGACTTGGCCCTACTCGAACTCAATACGTAACTAAGTTCGCCAGATGTGGCATCTTTTTCTAAATTTATCGGCGAATAAAATTACTACAGACACTCGATCAAACGTGCGTCTATCTTGAACGATAGAAACGGACCGAAAAATATGTAATCTTTTGAGAGTGAAATTTAAATGCGACAGATCGTCATGTTTTGTGATATAACTTTGTATTTCGGAAACTGGTGTAATAAAAGTAATAAAATTATTCCTAAATAATATTTGATTTAAATTAATCGCAAGTAATGTCATAACATTTCACGCCTGGCTTTTGGTTTACATGCATCATTTTCTGGGGAAAACTCGCCGGTCGCGGAAAATCATTTACATTAATGTAAAATGAAGCAAGGCACGCCTATAAACAATTGAAGATTGTTGCAATCATATTATCGGAATATCGCCAGTAAGTCGGCACAAGTACTTATTATTACTAAACCCTAGCTAGATAGCAAAGCAGGAAAACGCAAAAAAACGGTGCAATAACGAGTCTTCGTCGTAAGGTGTACGCAGCAGTCCTAAACTGCAGTTATACTTGTTGGGGTGCATGTCCACATCTGTGTCTTAGGCCAGTAAGGTCTTGCACATGTATCCCGTCTCTTTTATACCGTTTAACTATTATGCAGATACTGTTACATTTTTGAGGCAAATAAACATACATCACTATATAATAAAATCTGCCCCAAACAACCTGAAATTGACTTAATAATTTTTCCAGAGGCACTGCAAGTTCAGGTTACAGCTATATGATGGCAAATAATTCAGTAATAACTACAAATTAAAAGATTAAGATATAGCGTTTTGCTGACGTCAACGACTACAGCAAGTGTTTGAATTTAATATACCTTCTAATGTGAAGCTGTCTAATTAAATGATGGTGGCAAATATCAAGTCAACAAACGACACCGTCAACAAATTAAACTTTATGTTCAATACAATAACAATTAGGCGGAATAATGCAAATTAATTCTAATCATGTTACAACGAATATACCCCCATAAAAAGGAGAACAAATAATACCTTGATTCCAGAATGTAGAAACTAAATGGATTCATTTCGAAAATATTTTCAAAAATCCATGCTCTCTGTAGAACCAATGAGATACAATTGGTACATCAACGATGCATTATATTGGTCAGCTCAGTTGCGATTAACCTCATTACGCCGTTTATTTTTCCATATGTATGCAGTATTCGCGGTATGATAAAATTGTGGCAATATTAAATTCTTGCCATACCAAATACCGGAGGAAAGCTAAAAGATGAGATTCCTCCCTAATGAGCAGTAACAAATCCATAGAGTGGCTTGATAAGTTAAAGTAGTTAAACTATTGCCAGATGATATGGTACATTATTAGATATAGTCTACTTATTTCTTCATATAAATGTAATTACGCCCCGTCAACATTTTGAATCGACATGTAGGTGGAATATACCAATCGACCTTTATTGACACCATTGGTTTGAACAGGTGTGCCATGATCCAATCAGTGTGAAATGAGCACCCATATTAGTAATACTAAATGGCCTCCAAGTAATAGTGTGGGTGGGGCGAATAGAAACCAAGAGTGTTCATTAATTATAAACCTGTTAGTGTTTATGTTTTACAAAAATAGCGGTAGATCGGCCTTTCCGCGGTGATAAATTCTATTATATTCAAGTGGCTTCTGCCCCGAAGGTTTATATTTCATATATCATTAATACCGTACATCTAAATGTAGGCTTTTCGTTCAGTCCCACAATTCACACTTACACCTTGTAAAATGAAACCAAATGATAGAATTGAAAATTCTCAATACTTTATACTTTGCTGGTACTACATAGTGCAGAATGATTTGCAACAACATAAACAGCATATCAGCAACTTTTGTTATTACATTAAAAAAAGTATTCAGGCTGATTTTAGGTCAACAAGTTTGTACATGATAACGATTTTAAACTACACAAGAGATTGTAACAATTAACTGAGTCATACATTATAATACATTGGCAGAAATAACATGAAAGGTGGTATGTGATTTTAATATACTGAAACGGATCAAAGAAGAGAATTCAAATTACAAAAAGGATCTTCACATTTATAAGACACTTGAATAAAACTCACACGACTCTATTCGATGCAGATACCTCAGGTATATCATATTTTTAATCATATACAGCAGTGAGAGAACAGTAAGATACATTCACACAAGCTGTTGAAGCAATAGCGACAGGATATTTTTTATATCAAAACTACATATGGCAATGAAAGTTGCCATAATAAAATTTACCTGCAATGCCTCTAACAGAAAAAAAATGAATATAGCCTAACTATAAATAGCCATCAATACATTTACTCTCTTTTTATTAATGTAATCGGGAATTATGAAATTATTCCTGTATTTTCAGGAGACATATCCCAAACAATTGCTCCAATCCTGATTGCTAACAGATTTGGGAAAGAAATATATTAAATCGGATATATTTCATTTTAATGTGTGCACAATTGGTAGTGAAACTCTAGATAACATATTAGAGTAATTTTGAAGTTGTAATTGGCAAAATTTATCTTAAGTACAATAAAACAAATTTTGGGTCAGGTGGGTGGTCATGTTGGGTCAAGATCACATGAATTATCATCAATATAAATCTATATTATTTTTTCAAACAGCATGGCATTGATTCACATTTTAGGCCTTATCATATACAGCCATGAATGACTCGCATTATCAATCATGTTTTATGTCATAATATGTTTGCTCATAGTCATATTATGCATGTGTGAAACCATGGTCACAATGCTGAAAAGAGAAAAAAACAATGTAATATAGAAAAATAGGCGTCTTGTCAATAAACATAGAATATAGAATAACAATTATTGCACAGGAACATTTGTTGAATCTGTATTTAATGTCATGTTATTATATGTAATGTGACATGCATGATCACATTTTGTTAAATCTTTATCACATTCACAGTTTAATAAATGAGCTTCATCTATATTTTGAAATGAATCATTTGTGAGACTCAAATCGGCAGTTTGTCGTTTCATGTAAGTTCTGATATATGCCATTTGCACTGGTTTATGTACCTGAAGTTGAGCGCAAGCATCATCAAGTGTAAACCACTTCCTCATACGACCAATGTTCTTAGCATCGTCATAATCATCATTTAGGCTTTCTACTAATACAACATATACGTAAGTTCTGGTTTTCCGTGCACTGTTTTCAAAGATATCCAGCAATTCCAATATTTTACCATTGACACCAGCTTCTTCGTGAGCTTCTCTCAGTGCAGCAGTTGATGGACCTTCGCCTGGGTCTAATCCACCACCAGGAACTATCCAAAGGTGGGAGTGTCTGCTACTCGTGACCAGTAAAATTTCAATTTTTTCCTTTGAACGCAAACACAAACATGCAGCCCGGCGACGAAGGCCATCCTTGTCATATGTTCTTGTCTGATCCAGCTTTAATTTCATTTCATCCACATACACACGTATATCAGAGATAAATTAATTTCTGGAAACAATAAATTTTATAAATCAATTGCACAACAAGTCAACAACAGATAATTATCCAAAATAGATTTACCGCACCAGCTCTTTACAATAAACAAAAAACAGCACTACTCTGAAGTCACGAGACTTAAAACATCCAACTGCTTAAAGAGAAATATTATAGTTCTTTTGTTAAAGCCACAGTATGCATAAATAACTTTGGGTTGTACGCTTTTGACAGAATAAAGCACACACATTTGATACTAAGATTAAAAATCATTCCATTAATGTCATAAAGTACCACAGAATTCAAGCAACACACCCAAAGTATACACATATTTTATCACTACAAATATTTGTACAAAAAGTCAATATCAATTTGTGTGCCTTTATGTATTCAAGAGGTACTGGTCAGAACAAGCAAGGATAAATATGTAGTACGGCACTTTATCTGAAAACTATACAAGCCTGTGAATTCAATAGCATATATTACCTATAACATTAAAAATGCCAGTGGTGCAATATATCCTAACCTATACTATATATTTTTAATATAAAGTAGGGAAAGATCAATTGACCTCATTAGGTTAGATGTTGTGTGCATACCTCCTTGTGCTAATATATTTTATACACAGATGATAAACAACATGAATGAATCACCAACCCACATAATAAAAACATGGCCATGACATGTAGAAGGTTTTGAAATAAGCGATACATCGGAAATTAATTCAAGGAAATTGAATTGGCAGAGCAGTTAAATAATCATACAAAACACCAAACTACGTAAAAGAGCCAATTTCTTCAATTGTATAAATTCATGGTTTCAAAATATTTCAAACTATTGTAATCCGTAAACATGACACCTTTAACCAATAAAAATGAGCGCTCAAAACGGGTAGCTAATCAATATGGATAAACTACTGTAAATACTGTAAACAGATTATTTATTAAATATAGGGTAATTAAACATAGACTCATCCAAACATATTACAAAATTACACCTTTCCGAAAGTGTCTCGCAACAAAATAACAATTGATAACCTAGTGTGTAAGTCAAACCAAAGTCAAGAGTGATAAAATCTGAATAAACAATAGGCAAGAGTTTGGAGAAGAGTACTTACTACTTATTTCCTGTGTTAAGGTTGACGTTACCATACCACACCTACATATTACAATCTAAATGTAAAGGCAGAATTGGATAACAATTATCAAAAGTTATGTGCCTATAAATCTTAAGAAAAAAATCTTCATTTATGCAAAAAATTAAACTAAATGCAAATGCAATGTAAAAATACAGTCTAGTAAGGTGAATAAATTAGGAGCACTAGGCATAAGAAAAACATCCTTCGTTAATTTAAATTGGTGAAGATAATACAACCTCATTATCAAACAAAAATAAATATAAAAACGAAGAGCTCAATATGATATGTCTATGCCAAATATTCTAAATCACACTCAATTCACACTCAACAAAGAATTATTTCATAAAATTATGATCCTACACAGCTAAGACTACACAATTGCTTGGGAAAATAACTAATACCTTCAAACCAAAATTGAAACAATCACATTATCTAATTATACAAAGAAGGTAGCTTTTACAAATAAACTGAAATTTATGTTAGACTAAAATTGATTACACAAGTACTAAATATTCACTTGGGTGCCATTTTGAAAATTGACAGTGAACATAGAAGACTTCAAACTTTTCTTAAAAGTAAATTAACCTGATTAGTAGATACATTATTTATGATTAACAAAAAAAAAATCTTTAGAGACTTAGCTTTAAATGTGATAATATTGCCATGTTGCAATTGTCTATGAATAATCCAAAAGAATGACCAGGAAGGCAATAAAATACATTCAGTTTAACAATGTTGACTTGCAATACAACATAACAACTTTTTATAAGAAATGTCATTACTTGTGAACAAAGAACCAATAACCAAGATTAGATTCATGTCCCCCAGGAAATCTTCAGGTGAATTGCCAGGGGAATTTCCCTTGGATAATACCACAGTAACTAGTTAGACAAAATCAATATTTATGCCCCAGAGGCGAAAATCACATGTCTGGAATAGACGGCAATTTGGTGATCTTATTTCAATAACAAATCATGAAACAAAATAAAAATATAAAAAATATATTCATGGTGAAAAATAAGCAAGCTTAAATTCAGTATTCAAAGTTCGCATGTCTTTAATTAATTTTATTTTGATAATTTGAATAGCATCTACAGACTTTCTAATCATGCCAGAACCTCAATTGTGCTTGTGTAATTAATCCAGGTAATAAAAACATTAATAGTCCCGATAATTACTGAATTACAAACTATTGAATTTAATGTCATTCATCACATACTCATTTTATAATTTAATATCTTTATATAAGTGAGAAAGCAAGTGTTTATTTCGATTTCAATATTATGATATATTTCCCAAATACTAAATGGCAGTCAGTTTTGGGAAAATATATAATTAAACAGAGAAATAAAAATTGGAAAAATTTTCAGTTCTTGTTAATGAATTAACGAAAAAAATATAACTAAATTTGTAGCAAGGCTTTAAGAGCGCCTACTAACGAGCTAAGCTAAGTGCTTATCATTTTAATAACTAAATTATCCCTGATTTCATCATAAATATAACTTGAAAAATAGCAAGCAAAAAAAATTGGTTTTTATTCATTCTGAGTTACAAAGGGCAAAAATCATACATTTTTAAATGTAGGATTGACAACATAATACTGTAATAAGCTCCTTAAATTGTCATCCCTGAAATAGTTTTTAGTAAAATTTGACAATTGTAAAAATAAAAAGGTCAGGAATAAATCCAGGTGACGCCATTGACTGATTGAGTACGCCAAAGTTCACGCCTTAACCATCATATTGCTGGTGGCAATATTTATTTATTCCATTTTTGAGGTGTTTTTACAGAATCACTCTGAACGAAGCCCTATACAAGCAGCTAGGAGCTAATAGTTTCGGTAAAGCCTGAATCCTTCCGATTAAGCAATATTTACCAGCATCATCACACCTTGGCCAGAGGTATTTAAGAGATAATACCAACATACAGACATACGTGGATGCATTTAAAATTGATTGTTTCTGTTTTAGTTCCAAGTGGTTTATATTCAGATTAATTATTTATCGGTCAACACCCCATTCTTCCATTACCCAAATTAAATTAAATCCTTCTCATGAGTTGGCAGTTGACGCAATTAACTGGCTACCATGTACCGATGTATGCGTGGAAGATGAGAAGAATGAACCAGTCCAAAAACAGAAAAGTCAGCTAGATCTCAAGACTGCAAGAAGTGGAATCTTTAACTACTCAACTATTTGAAATGAAATACTGAAAGGCTTAAATAATCAAAATGGCAAACTTCGAAAGCAAAACCAAACACCACAACTACCGGTACTGAACTATTATCCATGCATGGCTCGAGAACCCGTCGGATTGATTTACAGCAAAGTCAAATACGGTATTACATAGCCAACAAACAACATCACCCCAATTTCAGATTTTTTTTTCAATGCCAAATACCGGTACTGAAATAACGCATCAAAGCTCTGACGTTCGTACGGGTACGGTACCGGTTCCATCATTAGGCATTTTATCCTTCCTACAGATAGACTACGGTATATCTTTGAATTCTATCCAAACAAGACGTCTGAAATAGACCACTGAAATCAAAAAAATAGCAGAACGCGATGCCAGGATTTAACAAAGGTGTGTGAACTGGTTCACGCAAGCAAATCGAAGTCTCTTATAGGCTACCGGTACTAGAACGCTAAACTGTCAAACTTTTCTGTCTGTCTGTCACCCACCATACTGCCATAAGAGAGTTGAAACACGTTACCGATATCTTGATATTAAACAGTCTCCACAGAGGTTCAAGACAGTCAAGAGTTGAAATCTTCCGCTACTGAAGCGCACAAACACGTAACGAACCATATGACGTATACCAATATCTGAATATATCATATACAGTACTATACCGTATTATTACCATAAGTCACAGAATCACATTCTGAGCACGCGTGTTAAACGTGATACCAGCCAGCCATGACCAATCGTGAGAAAAAGAAACACGAAGAAAGTGTGTGCGATTCTGAAGGCGACGGATAGGTCAAGAGGCGGTGGGCGTTAGTGAGGTTGAAATTCAATTTGTACTCGGATATTTTAGGAGCATTGACTTTTTTGACTTCGACATTAAGCACTCGAACATCTACTCGCAAATCTATTTTTCGTTTTCCAAGTTGCTCTAAGAATACCGCCATGAAGTAAAAGCTGTGGCAAAGCTAGGACGAAGTATTATTTAAATGGAGAATGAGACTGACTCATTTGCGGTTGCTCCGTAATAACCCAAGTTGATCTAATATGGTTTGCAAAAAGTATACTATCTGGATAATTAAATACCACTCAGACCGAACGTAGTATATATTTTATAAGGTAAATATATGTATACTACTACGTATAAGCACTGTAGAAAGTTCAGACGCCCGAAATGAACTGTTCGAGTCTACCCTTTTTAGCCGTTGTTTACACAATTGTGTGTGAGCGTGTGTTCATCAGTATTGCAGTAGTTCGGAAATTTTCAGATACAATCGGCGAATGTTCGTTCTACTGATTGTTATTTAGACGTGTGATATGTGTCACAATCGTATATTATTTTTTGCCTTATTTTTTTTTGTGCGTGCTATAGCTAGAGGTCACTCACTTGCATGCTGTATACCAATATTGAAACATCAAAATATTGAACCTTCATGAATGACCATGGTAGAAAGTTGGGACTCTCTTCACTTGCACATACTTATTTTCATGAAAATATTAAACAGCTACAATATTGCTATTGCTCCTGCAGCTGCTGATTGTTGTTGAGCCGGCAGTTAATCTCTCTCCACCTGTTCTACATCTAATGTTGGTGTGTCGGGTTCTGTAGCATGCACAGCAAATTATTTTATTTATTTATTTTTCAAATGGCTGTTTACACTCTGACATCTGCATGCGCATGTTCCCTTTTTTGCTTAACGTTGGATTTTTGACATTACACATGCATGGTCTTTGTTTCTATATGGGTGGTGTGATACCTTATGAGGGTTGTAGACCGTATAGTTTAGCTCCTGTACCTATTATTGTAATTAGGCGACCAGTGGAGATATATTGGATTCTCCCCTTCATTTTAATTTGTTGTGGTATTCTATGATTTGTTTTGTGTGTATACAAAATTTTATCCTAGGTTGAGGTTCTGCTGTGAAGTTGATGTGAAGGCCAACATACGAATGGTCAGTGTGGTTTGAGAGTTTCTGCATGGTTTGCGAGGAATTCACCCTGTGTCCCAACCATATTTCAACTCTGGTCTTTGAACTAGCGTTTTATAGATAGATAACTAATAATCAATATCTACTCGAAATAATAATTAATTCTAAACAAAAGTGTAGGGTAGTGCTGTTTCCAAATATGTAACCCTTGAATATCCTACTCGCAGATTTATTTTCTGTTTTTCAGGTCTTTCTGTGATGATCAATACAATGGCTAGTTTATTGAATATAAATGGTGTCTACAACAACAAAATTCGCAGGCTGATGTCTCATCCACGATAAACTTGAATTGACATCTATTACGCCACAATAATTAAATGAAGAAATGATCCTGTGAAATAACAATACTAATTCCTTTATCCTTGCAGAAGTCAATATCTAAGAATGAAAAAAAAAAACTTATAACCTTAGCAACCAACATATTCCTATACCCTGTCTTTCTACCTTAATTAATTATAATTACTCATACTTATAAAGTTACTGATAGATTTAAATACTTATTGCAATCTGGACTATAATTTGGCAATAATAGGCTCTAGTTTGGGCAATGAAGTGGTCTAGCCCAGTGGTTCCCAAACTTTTTTGACAATCGCCCCCCTATAGTAGTTTATACAACTTTATCGCCCCCCTGCAATACAAAAAATATAAAGTCAGAAACGAATATATTGCATACCAAATAAGAAGACAAATCATAGTTTATAGTGTTTTTTAATGAAATAGATGAGCTTGGTGTTCTTCAGCGAGTTTTTTATTGTATCTTAAATTACCCCGTTTACTGGTGGAAAGGCGATTTCGTTGTTTTGATAGCAATAGTAGCACAACTGAAAACCCCTTTTTCACCATATAATAGGTCGGAAATGAAAGAATCCAGGGTTCTACCTCCTCAAAAACCGCCGTGTACTCTTGCCTTATAGTATTTCACTTCCTAAATTCATCCTATTTCACATATAAATAATGAAAACAAAGTTAATTTTCCCAAACTTATATATAATAATGATTTTCGTACATCTCATTCATTCGTACAGCATGATGACATGCACCAAAATACTTTGGTAAAATTCATCCCCAATTCCTCATCCTACCACGGCCTCCAGTCCGATCACCAGTCCATAATTAATCAGCCATTTGTTTTTGGATTCATGGACTCGGATGTGGAAGAAGTCGTGATCGACTATCGGCTACGGCTCGCGGGACAAAATTCAGGGTTGCCAGTCTTTTGCGGGTCGCATATATTTTTTTAAAGTTAAAAACGGAACAGCGCGCGAAAACTGCGACAATTCGTGAACTCAACTCAGTCGTCTTATTAAAAAAATATTACAATGACATTTAATGTGACACTGTCTTGTTGATGCATCACGCTGAATAGCTTTACGACGCCAACATTGGAACATTTTCTAAATGGGCATCACTAATCCCAGTTCTTTGCTTGTTCTTTGTAATGTTCATTTTTGAAAAAAATTGTTTGCACAAATATGTACTTCCAAACATCGAAGTGAATATTTTCGCATGATTTGTGAAATTTTGACAAAGATTTCCTTTAAGAAGATACATTCTTACAAAAATTAAGCAGTGATGAATGTCTCGAATAGAATATAAATTTTATTTTCCTATTGCATTGCAATATATATATTCGAATATTGACTGCGCTATTAAACCCCTGCCCTCAGCATCAACTTTTCTTCGTGTTTCCATTCGTCTAATTATAATTAAATTGTGGGCTCGTTAAACGAGTAGCTGTTCAATAGGGTTCCATTACATTTGAACCCACGTACATTTGAACCCATCACAATTGCACCTGTATGCTATTGCACCTATGGAATTTTTTTTGTTTCACGGATAGTTAAACCCATACCAACCCTAACCCATGGGTTTTAGCACCCGCATATAGATTGAACCCGTGGATATACGCATGGGTTCAAATGTACGGTCACCGTTCAATAGAATTTTTAGGATATAATAAAATTTAGTCCAAACGTGTCTCACGATAAATTCTGTTACGTAAAAAAATGTCATTTACTATTCGAGCGTAGATTATAAATAAAAAAATTTCATCGTCAAAATCGCCGTTTGGATGTTTACCCGGACATAGACATCCTTGTTTACTTCGTAACATTGGCCAATCAGCAAGATGCAAAAACGTAACAATGCCCCCTTTCACATCCGCTCAGACACGCTCACTAAGACAGATTTTCAGGCGTGGTCGTGAACATTACCTCAGTTTCGCTTTTTGAATTATGTTCGTTAGTTTTTAGTTTTTTTCGGAAATTTAAATATAAATCAAATAAATCAATGATTACTTTGTCTTCCTATGAGTTTCAGTTTAATTACAGGAATCAAAAATTAGTGTAGAAATAGCTGTGATAGACTAGGCTAAAATTCTTTATCGGTA